TTTTTTTTTTTTTTTTTTTTTTTTTTTTTGCGTGTGCAATGCAAAATGCAACTACCACGTTTGTGTGAGGTGATTGCGCGACGCGTGGAGGAAGCTGTACCTTAGGCAAAACCAGTTGTCAGTGATATTAAGATAATATAAAAATTAAATAAAATAAAAAGGTCAAAATTTATGGCTATTTAATATTTAATTATTTTGGTTTTTAAATTTGTCCGCGCGCTACTCATGCTCTTGAGTCATGTCATGTGCATTGGTGGACTGTGCGTGTTGGTTTTCTCGCTTTGGGCCGGTCATGGGAGGGTGCAGGCCCACGTCAGTGGGGCCCATATCGGTGATAGTGTGGGGGAAATTGTAGCATTGAAATCCTAGTAGTACTATCATAATAAATATTTTGTTGCCATCTTTTTAGGGCATCTTCAGGCGTTACGCTATCTAATTATTCAACTTTGAATGCTAATATTGTTTATCCTTTCCTTTCTTTGGGCTTATTGTTGACAACAGTCTTTCACCACCACCAGCTAGCTAGCTAGCACTTGCTCCTGCAAATGGCGGCTTCTGGGGTAAGATTAGTGCTTTCGTTAACGCACATGATAATCGGGGGTGTGCTTTTTTATTTATTTTATTTTTATTTTCAGGTTCATTCTAGCAGGCAAATGAGGAGGTTGGAATCGAGGAAGTCACATTCTTGGTGGTGGGATAGTCACATCAGTCCTAAGAATTCCAAGTGGCTTTCAGAAAATCTTGAAGGTATGCAACGGTGTTATAGTTATATATTGTCATATTTGTCTTCTTTGCTTGATTCTTCTGTGTTGCAATATCAATTTGTTGAACACGAAAGCAAATAGAGTGCCAAACAAATATGCAACTTTTGCTTTGCTGCTCATGCATAACTGCATAAGTAGATAAATCGGAGTATAGTTATTCCACCCAATCTATTTACTACGTATATGCTTGGAAACAGGATAATCATTTAACTTGTGGTCTAGGTTATGATCAGGTCTTTGCGTTTGGCGCAACGCAACATTCCTTCCCCCCAATTAGGGCTGACCAAACACACTCTTAGGCTTATAACAAATTTTAAAGTGAGGCTTTTTTAAAATGAATAATAATATCTTTTGATAAAAAGTCAATGTTTTAGAGATGGATATTGAAAAAAATAATTATATTTGTATATCTTTTAGAGATGAGTCTTTTAGAGTGAGCTTTTAAAAATACAAGAAGTTATTTTTGAATCATGAGTCTTGAAAAAATTATGTAAATATTAATGCAAAATAATTGTTTTTTTGAAGTAGCACAATGCAAGGCCTTTATGGGCCTCATTTTTGGGCCGGCCCCCAATGCATAACACAAAATCAGAACTATTTCTTTGAATATGCTCTGGGTCAGATGAATTGGCTAAGTGGAGATGGATGTCTTTAAGAGTTTGTTTAGATACAAATTTAGAAAAAAAAATTGGAGCTTATTTATTGGAAAGAGGTTTTTCTAGTAGAGAAACTTATATAAGCTTGTATCTAAACAAACTATAAGTCTTTTTATATTTTTTATACTTTTATTCAACCTATATAATTTATAACACTGTTATACTTCTATCCTATACCCACAAAGTACCATTACCTGCCTAGTTGACAAGCTTTTCCACCGTCCTGCATGCTGTACATCAATCTGCCTAGTGAACATGTTATCAACTGGAAAGGTTACCAATATGACTAAAGTTCCGTAAAGCTCCTTTTCTTAGTTTATATGCTATATTCAAATTTATGCTAGGTTCTAATGTTTTATCATCTATGCATTCATTAGAAAAGCTAAAACATAAAATTGTGAAAACTTCTGAAAACTAATTATGTTTTGAATGATAACTCTTCAATAGCCCAACTTATATGTTTCTATCATTCTGAGTGGAGTTTGAAATAATTACTGTTTTTAAGGGATTTAACACCCCCAAGTGAGGGGATGCACTTTAGAAGAGAAAGTGTGGAGTTGTAACTGCTGATGGAAAAATCAGTGGAATAAATTTTAACGACTACATATTATTAGTTCATTATACATGTGTATGTATTTTATTATAATTATAATTATAATTATAATTTCAGCTATTGATTTTCTAATGAACTGTTATAATTCCACACTTTTTCCCTCTAGAGTGGTGTTCTTAATTTAGAGAAGTCAAATTCTTCAATAAGATAGCTATGGATGTTAATTATCTTTTTGTTCTGGTGAATGGAATGCTATTTTTCTTTAGTAGACCATTTTTCTCTACTTTCAGCTTTTTTCATCAAATATGCAACAAATACAAACTCATGCTTTTAATTAGGGGGCATTGGTTTCAAGGTTTAGATTTACATTCCTGTTGAGATGGGTATATAACATTCTTACAATTGTTTCAAGTTTTGTAAAAATATTCCCATCCAAAAATTTTTTCCAGGTATATGTTGAGTATTATTCCCACCAATTGTCATCCCCATTGAGAGGTGGATATAATTTATTCCTATGGGAATGGTTGAAGTAGCGGGTAGTTATAGTGGATAGTGGGGAAAAAAAGGAAATTTTATTTTTTAAGGGGTTGTTTTGGGTAATAAAATAATTACATATTCCTAGGAATATGCTTTAAGTGATACAAAGAACCAAACATGGTCATAATATATTTTCAGAGATATCATTCTCACTGATGCAACATTATTCCCTGAAACAAATGCAACCAGAAGATAATTACCCTTTCTTTATTCCCTCCATGCATGCACCTTTTGTCAAGCTGAAAGTTTCTTCAGAATTCTGTCTTCCACCCTTCAATGATATCCATTACTCATGCTCTGTATATGTCATTATCCTTTTTAATGATAATGTTGTTCAAGAAAATGACATGATATTCAATCTCTCAGAGATGGACCGGAATGTGAAGCGAATGTTGAAGCTGATAGAAGAGGACGCAGACTCATTTGCTAAAAAAGCTGAGATGTATTATCAGAAGAGGCCAGATTTGATTGCTCTGGTTGAGGAGTTTTACCGTGGTTACCGGGCTCTGGCTGAACGTTATGATCATGTGACAGGAGAATTGCGGAAGAATATACCCTCTGATCTCCAATCCCAAGGTTCAGGCATTTCAGATGCTGGCTCTGAACCATCCTCCACCTGGCCCTCTCCAACTCCAAGGAAGGGGGGTCGCCTTAAATCTAGTAACCGAGCTGCTGGGTTTGATTTCTTTCTAGGCTCTAGTGGAAATGGTTCTGATGTATACCAAAAAGATGGAGATGAGTCCTCTACTTTGACAGATTCTGAGGAGGAATCTGATGATTCGTCAGTTAATAATTATTCAGGCTTCTCAAGGAATGGTAGTAGTGATCTGGGGATGAACAGAAGAATAATGGAGTTGGAAACTGAGCTCCGTGAGGTAAAAGAAAAGCTATGGATGCAGGAAGAGGACCATGCAGAGGTTTCATCTAGGGGAGCAAGAAATGAGAATAGTGAAGATGTTGTCACCAAAATTAATGCATATGAACAAGAACTGATGACTGTAAATGAGAAGTTAAGGCTCTCAGAAGAAGAAATTACTAAGCTGAAGATTGAGCTTCAAAAATACAGATTCTTTGATAAAGAAAATTTGGAGGCTGGTTTTGAGTTATCATCAACTAAAGAACATATCAATGATGGAGTGGAAGCCCTGGAAGACAGGACTATAGAGGTTGAAGGAAGTACTGATGGTGTGGACAAGGCATTGTTTAAGCCAAATGGTGAGATCGAGTCACTTGGAATGGAGCTAAGACTAACCAAAGAAAATCTCAAAGCTTCAGAAACACAAATTACTTCACTGAAATTTGAGGCCAATAAATCATCTGAAAGAATTCAGAAGTTGCAGGATCAGCTTGACTTGGCTCGTAAAGATATTGCTATTTGGAAAACCAAATTCAATAGTGAGAAAAGAGAGAGCACAAAACTCCACGAAAGACTTGCAAGGTTAAAGACTAGTCTATCAGATCGTGATCACGAGATCAGGGATTTGAAAACAGCAGTATCTGATGCTGAGCAGAAAATCTTCCCGGAGAAATCTCAGTTGAAGTCTGAAATGTCTAGGTTGCTGGAGGAACGAACTCATTTGGAAGAGCAGATCAGAGAATGGGAATGTCGAGGGCGTTCATTTGAAGAGGAGATCAGAAAGATCCAGTCTGAAAAAATAGAGATGGAGGAGGCATTCAAGAGTGAGATTCAACTGCTAAAGACAGACATTGAGCAGAGAGAGAACAACATAAAGGATCTTAACATAAGCCTTGATACTTTAAATCTAGAGAAAGATAATCTCCGTGTAGAAGTTGGTTCACTGAAGGAAGAGGTGAACTCCAAAGATGGTAGGATTGAACACCTGAACAGCCATTTGAACCAGCTGCACATGGAGCATGTACAACTGATTGCTGGAATGGAGGAGGCACATAAACAAGTGGAAGAACTAAAATCAAAAGCTAAGCAACTTGAGGAAGAGGTCGAGAGGCAAAAAACTGTGATCACAGAAGGAGCAGAAGAGAAACGTGAGGTCATAAGGCAGCTATGTTTCTCACTGGAGCACTATAGAGATGGCTATAATATGCTTCGGCAGCATGTTATGGGGCACAAACGGGTTCCAGTTTTGGCTGCCTAGTTAATAAATTTGAGCTTGATCTTGTACATTGTTTTGGCTATCTTAATTTCTCTGCCTGGGATGTTTTCCTGATGTTATGGATTGGTTCTAGTGTACATGAGTCAAGGTTATGTGTATTAATTAGTACGGACAAGTGACGACCATGTTTACATGGTTTAATTTACACTCTGGCTTGTTAGCTATACTTCTAAACATATACTGATGCCATTGCCAAGTGTCATCCGATTCTAGTAAGAAGCTGTGCAAAGGAACCCTTCCTTAAGGGCTCACGAGAGATTCAAAATTTGCCTTGTTTGGTCTAATGGTCTGATGTGAATGGTTGTGCAACCTTTTTATGGCTTTCTCTTGCAGTAAATATATAATGCTTTTGGTGAATGTAGTTTCAATTTTCTTTTGGCTTATGCCAGCTCTTAAAAGAAAGGGAAGCGTTATTTTTTTTTGGTTAAGTTTAATTTTAAACTAAAAGTTTGAAATTTAAAACGTTACTTCAATCCAAAGATGTGATATATTTCATAAAGTAAGCATATATTTTTTATCATTTAAAATTTGAAAAATAACGCTTTAGTGAATTTGAATGTAAAACGCAACTCCAAGTCTTCATTTCTGCCTAAAATCACAAGTCTGATGGAAGGAAATGAATTACAAATTTATGATTCCCTTTTGTACAAACAATAAATCCGTTTCTAAAATTACCTAAAGGCTTATTATATTAAAATCATCATTTTTAATGAAATTACATACTTATTTTTATGAAATATACGTTTATATTTAAAATACTTACAGCAGTTAAACTTTGAACGACAATTGTTTTAGTTGGTTAATTTATTTTTTTCGTTGAATCTTTTGAAAACGTGAATATTGAAATGGCACGACAAAAGCACTCGAGACTAAATTATGAAGATAAACTATAATCGTGGTTTCACATTAATTTATGGGTTTATTTACGTAAAGTAAAAAATACAACTACAACTATCTGGATTTGTGAATATTAATAATAGAGAGAACAGCACACCATGTTCACCCTGATTAAGAACAAATACTGAATTAACAAAATGAGTGGGATCTTATTGTATAATGATTTTAATATAATTGTTATGAGGGGTGCTGACAGATACTTTGTAAAATATTAGTCACTACAAAGTGATAAATTAGGACCCACTTGTTGAACATTTCATTTATGATAATGACATAGCTTTTTGAATTCGTTGTTACAATCATGACAAAGTAAGTTACTAAGCTCTCTCTCTTAGAAGTTTGAAGGTTGAATTAGTCTTGCATTGCTAGCTGAAACACACCGTCTACTCACTTCATGGGCTTGGGCTGTGCCATTTTTAAATTTTTACATTAATTTCACTTTTCTAAAACAAAACAGGAAGGTTTTTATATCTACGGTTACGACTAGAACTAAGTTAGACTAGATTATTTATAATTTAGTAGGCGTGAATTTAATTTTCACTGAAAATACATATCCCAAATATAATTTATTTAGACATTTTCTAATATTTGGTTAGAACTACAATCTCAAATACCTACTTTATAATAATTTAACACTAATAAAAAATAAAAGTAAAAATATTAAATTTTATAAAAATTAAATATAATTTATTTATGATATAAACATATTTTTAATATCTAATATAAAATTTTAAATGATAATTTTTTTTAAAATATTTTATAATAAAAATTATAAATAGAACATAAATCTTACGAATTTTACTAATTTAATTTTTTAATCAACCAAAGATAAATATATATGCTACACAATTTATTTTATCAAAAATTAATTTTTAAATATATTATATTATATATGTAAGTATTTAAAAAAATTGATTCATTATTAAGGAGTATTATTCGTCACATATAAAAACTAATCTCCTTCAAAAATTTGAAAAATATTAAATAAATACACATCTCTTCCAAACTTAAATTTTATATATACGATAAATTAAACATATATAATTTTATTTTATTAGAATATAATTTTTTATTTTTTTTAAAATATACTATTTTTGAATAAAAAAATATTATATAAAATTATAAAATGGTAGTGGACTACACCTAGATCCGTCTTTGACCATGACTAACCAAGGTGTTAAATGAAGTGGACATGCTAACTAATAGGAATAGAATTGGACACGTAGAATAATTATGTACCATATAATTGTACGCACTAGCATTTGTTATGCATTAGTAATGTCTTGCTGTGTTTTATGCTAGAAAATCATGTGTGCATAATGAGGTTGAATGTTTCAGCTCCAAATAAGATAGTGGATTATACATATTTACCATTAAAAAGATAATTGAATGTTAAATAGTTATTGTTGTTATAACTATGCGAAAATAATAACCATATATTTTAATTTTAATTTTCAGTTCTTTTCAAGCCAAAATGATGAATTGAATTAGGCTCGAATATTTGTGATAGAAAATGAATTTGTTTTTGTCATTGTGGCCGTGGGCTCGCATGGTGACTAAAGCTAAAAAAAATAAAATAAAATAAGTGAGCATATCCCTACCAAGGCCTTTGAAAACCTTATGAAGTGTGTGGATTTTACAACCATGAGACAATTAAAACATTGATGGGTCATGCATATATATACTATCCAGCTAAATGGTGAAGAAATTTTCTTAGACAGTGATCATGACAAGAACATCAAACAACATATTATTAACATTGAAATGAAGAGGATAACATCAACACTATCATACATGTATACAATGCACACTTACCAAGTGGCGAGTCTATAAAAAAAAAAAAAAAAAAAAAAAAAAAAAAAAAAAAAAAAAAAAAAAAAAAAGGTTCTTAAAAAATGCAATATTTAGTGAAATTAATGGAACATAATTCGTATGTCTATAAAGAGGGGTTTAACACGTGTCTTTATAGCTAGAGATGCTATATTCATATTTTGTGTGTGTAAATAATATAGTGAGTAATTTTTTTATTATAAATTTATGATAAATTCTCATATCATTTTAAAATATGAGTTTAGTCGTATTTGAATACGCAACAAACTAATTTATCATTACAATGGAACACAGTGTATATTGAATAATGCGCTATGTCAAACTGTACTAGTTTATTTGTTGCATAGATAATATCGCATTAATTAGGATCTAAGCTTGAATGAAACTTTGATAGCAATTGTGGTCCGTTCCAATTTAAAATTGAAGGGATATCACTCAACTAAAAGTCTCTGTTATTATTTTATCTTATACAATGCAAATTCAAGCTGTCGGCCGGAATTCATTTAATTTTGATGGTCAAACAATAATGAATTGTAGAATTATATAAAAGATACAAAATTTTGTTCTATTTTTCATTTTATATAATTTTAATGAAACATTACTATTTGTTTTGATCTAACATTTTTATATTAGGATTCTGATCCCAAATCAATAGACTAATGGAGTGATAATTAACTAATTATAAAGTAGAGAATAGATTAAAAAAGTGATAATATATATATATATATA